GGGGAGCCCTCACAGTGCAGCCTGGCCCTAAGTGCATTGCACACACTCAGAAACTAGAAAGGGGGTAGGCAAAATGCCATCTCATTTCTTCCAAGTTGCAGTGTTCTTGAACATTTGGATTGGGAGCCCTGGTTTCCTTCCTCCCAGTAATACACATTATTGCAAAGAAAATTTCAGAAGTCATGGAAGAAAGGAAAAGTGCTTGAGCAATGGCCCAGGCAAGTATGGCCCAGGCAAGAGGGATGTGAGCACTCTTTCAACACCCCTGCAACTCGACAGGCTTGAGAAATCCTGATTGCTGGGAAGCAAAACACAAATTGTCCCTGCAACTGCTTTTACCAGGTTGCTCTGTCCTTTTCCTAATTCAAACTGCAATTATAGAGATGATAAAATGGAAAATAAATATATATGCAGCAGTTGAGAAAAACCAATTAGTTTTGCACTGGTGAGAAATAATGCAGAACTCCTTGTGTTTTGAACAAACTGGCTCTCAATGTATTGTAATGTATCTTCATGACCCAAGTATACTTAGGAAGAGCATGACAATGAAATGTATGTTGGAAGTGTAATAAAGGAACTAATGCAGTAAAGTTACTATATTTTATTAGTAGAAGAAAACAATTAAAATGATATCCAGGTAGTAACTTAGGAGCCAAATGTCATAGCTGTCTCTTTTGTTGCCAAAATATGTGTACTCTCTTCCTAACAGACTCTTTCCCCAAGGAAAAATAAATGTATCTAAGAAATACTTGTTAGCAATGCAATTACAGGCTTAATTCCCCAACCAGCTTCAGACATCATAAAAACAAAACCAAGCAGAAGCCCTTTGCAATCACAATGGAAAAGATACAGAAAACCACTAAGTGTTCAGAGAAGGATAATATATTTTTATAACAAAAGCTGATACAGCCTTTGACAGTAACATTTGAGGTGACATTAGCATTAGTTTTTCAACTGCACTGTCTTTTTCTTTTCAGTTACAACCTAGAATAAAAAACTTCTTCTAAAGTTAGGCTGTACTACTTGTGGACAAGCCTTTTGGGACATTCAGACACGACAGTACTCTGCCATATTCTCAGAAAAGCAACGTATCAAAATAGCATTTCTTGGCACTACTTACTTCTGAAGGCCTGGTCCCTCCAAGGAACTTAATGACAGCTGGGTTATTTGTACAGTGGGGGTTCAACCGTGAGACCTGAGACACTGGGAAGCTAATTCAGAGCACTTCTGAAATGTTGGCCCTAAGAAAGTGAGATCAAGATGAAAGTTTGAATAAATAAGATAAAAAAGACAAAAAATGCTAAAGGTTGCTTCCTCTCCTTCCCCCATCCCCACCACACATATTTGACCCATATTCATATCACAGCTTGGAGAAAAAAACCTTCAAGAGGCCTTGCATGGACCAGAGGAAGTTTGTAGCTGTGCAAGGATCATGTTTGTGGTGTCCTGCAGGATTCCCATGCTGGGATCTAGATTCATCCCTATCTCCTCATCCATTTACCAGTGCTCCCTGCACAGCCTGGGCACCCTGGGCTCTCTCACCATCCATAGCAAGGCTCTGAGCTCTTCCAGAGACTCCTGTCTTGGGAGAGGCTGTCTCATCCCGCTGGCTTCATCAGGAGAAACTCTGGATGCTCTGGAAACTCTACTCATGTGAGGAGTAGATGTCCTGACCTGAAACTCCAGGCTCTGCAGAAGGATTTCCACTTGATTTGGTAGCAGCATATACTTTTACTGTTCAGGAAGGAAAGGTGTACATCCCCATGAGCAGTACTGTGTTCTTTCTAGATTCCCACTCCCAATGCAAGTTTGAATTTTTTTGACAAGGTCCTCAAAAGTCTTTTTCTCCTCAATGACTTTGTGCAATCTAAAATATCCATCTAAAACATTGCAGATGACTTTTACCCCTCAGTCAGTTACTATCAAAAGTCTCCATTCTTTTGAAAAATTGGCAGCAAACCCAAGATAAAAATATTGATGTTTAAAAATTTAGTATTTTAAAATATCAAATATTAACATCCTTTTAATGATTTTTAAATTGGATCTAAATCAGGGTAGGTATTTTCCTTCTGACACTCACTTATAATGGGTTACTGCATTGAAGGGTTCACAAGAAGAGGAAAGTGGATTTCCTTTAAATCTGTCTTGCTTCCAGCCTTGGATCCCAAAATGACAGATGCCTGGAAGGGCACTGGAACTTCACTGGGTGAAAAAAGCATATTCTCACTACAAATGTGAAAACTGTAATAACCAAGCCCCAGAAATCACAAATGCCTGGATCCCTAGGCTGCCAGTGGTGCAGTACAGAGCTACTAAAGCTGATGCCAGAGAAAGGTAGAGAAACTCTTTGCAGATCATCTTCAAGATGTTTCATGGCTCATAAAAATGATCTACTTCAGTGCCATTTTCAATTAATAGAGGCACTGATTTTTCCTCTGTACATTTAAGCTGTCAGTATCTGCTTCCATAATGACAGGATGAGAGGGATTGGATTTTTTTCGTATTTAAAGTGTAGTTGATTAAAATTGAAATGGGATGAAGGATATGCTTTTTTACTAATGGAGATTTTGGATAATAATGACAAGGAGCTTTCAATTGCAAAAGCCAGTGTGATGCTTCATGTGTCTGTATTGGATGCAAATCTTGAGAAATGTCCTTGACTAGGGTCATTAAAACTGGTATGATTGGATTTGCAGCATTTTTAATGTAGGCTCAGAAACAAACTGCATTATTATTGAAAGCCCGAGATGAATTTATTGAGATGGTTTGAATAATTTTTCTGAAACAGAAATTCCACAGACAGCTGCTGTCTCTCTCTTAATGAGTTTCAGAGTCTGATAAAGAGGAAACTCAAGTCTTTGTGGATAGCTCAAAGAGATTTCTTTCTATCCTGCCTCACAGCCTGTCTCCTGAGAAGCACAACCATCAGCACTGACAATAATAAACACAAAACAGAAGTCTACATTAAATGCTGTGAATGATCTATGGCTTCGTTTTGCCGCTATGCACCTGAGGCTCAAGATCCTCTTGCAAAATGATGGAAACTCATCCATCTCACTAACAAAAGTTACATGCCTACAGTGATTCTAAAAAGAAACTGGCTTTACCTGTAATCTTCTGAGGTGGATTTTAAATTTTCCTTAATTGAAGGTGCTTAGACCTGATATTTTGGCTTAGCACCCTAGAAAAGCTGAGATCCACTGTAAATCAGGTTCCAGGTCAGGTTTATTTTTCTGATATCCTGAGTCTGCAACAGGATGTTGCTATTTGGTAATTTCTGAAGGAAAGATTAGTTGAGATGCTTACAGAGACACTGCAATAATGGTGGCATTTATGGGATGGGGAGCCAGGAGAATCTCTCATTGGGTGTGAATTGTAAGCCTGTGTCAGGCTCTAGGGTGCACAGCTGGAAAGGCCACCTTCATTTTCCTCCCTTACACCCTCTTGGCAGCTCAATAAAGTTACTCCTTAGTGGCTTTACTGGGGTGACAAGAAATGTGGCACTTTTGTTTTGTAAGATTTCTGCAAAAGCCCTGGATCCATACTACACATCCTTGGACCTGAGTCTCTTCTCAAACCAGCCTTGCTGGACAACCACATTTTCAGGTCCAGTAAGTGGCATCAACTTTAAAAAACATTCAAGAGCAACATTTTACAGTTCTGAAGAAGAGAGGAAGTTCCAGGAATGAGTCATAAAATCAATCTCTTCCACCTAAGAAGGATGCATAAGTGGGTATAAGAATCTGGGGAAAGGCTCTCAAGAAAAGGGCATTAAAGCAGCAAAGATGACAGCACATTGTGGAAAAAAATGCATTTCTGCTGTGTCTGTTCAGAAAAATGCTTCTTGGTTCACAGTTCCATGGAAATGTTTGCACAGCTCACATGTGGGAAGCAACATGTGGATCTCTGATGGCATAAGCCAAATTTTTATCATTTATATGTACAAATGTGCCACCTGTCCCCATGAATTTCAGCCAGAATATGTGCTCTGAGAGCTGAGGGAAGGAAGGGGCAATCCCAGTTCATCATAGTCATATTAGAGTACCTGTGGTAAAAAAAGACTGCAGAATTTAAGTGCAGCCTCCCACTGCCTTGTTCTAATTTCTCCCACGAAAGCAGTGCACAGGTAGGGCTCTCACTCACAGTCTGCTTCTGCCAATAATATGGTAAAACACAACCAGCACTGGTGGAAGATTTCCCATTAGTGCTGAAGCAAATGTCTGAGGTCAGGCTGTGAGAGAGGTGAGACTGGAGGGCTTCTCCTCCCCTCCAGGGACTGCAGCTGTTGATAGAACTAACAAACTGAATAAAGCAGAAATAACAACCTGCAGTCCTTCCTGCTGAAATGAAGATTTCAATAACCTGTGCTGCACATGGCAATAATAAGCAGCCTCTTCTGTTCCGAAACATTAAGAGAGAAGATGCCAGGGGAAGAAATCAGTCCTTAGAGTGATTGCTTAGATTAAAAGGCTTGCACAAAGCTGGAGTGAGGGAGGTTGACTTTCCTCCCAAGCCAAGCATGCAGAAAGGCAAACAGGGCTTTGGCTGTTTCCAGCAAATCAGGCTGTTTTAATGACCTTGGTTCTCTCTTTCAGTGCATCCACGCGAGCTCCTTTGTGCACATCCATGTGTGCTCTGCTATGCTGGACCCTGGGCCTGTGCCTGGGAGAGCACGCACCCCCTGCGTGACCAAAGAGCAGATCCAGCATCAAACATGGAAGGAAAAAATAGAAAAACAGGGGGGGAGGCCCGAAGTCTCCAATCTGACACGCTCAGCAAGTCACTGGTTGGCATGGTAGTGACGCCACAGGCACCAGGAGAGAAGCTTTCCCCCACAGTTTCTCTCGGGTTTATTGGGAAGATTATTAAAACATTTTCTTTTTAAAATATTTGGCAGAGACTTTTGCATAAGTCAAAAGGACATTTCTGGCCATATTGCTTCAGACAGAGAAAAGAGAGTTTAAAGGGAAAAACCAAGCAAAACCCCATTGACTTTCTTCATGGCTACTGAAAAAGGTCTTGAAAGAACTTGTCTTGTGAGCGAGAAGGACACCAAGAAGTACTCGTTGGCCCTAGACAGGTAACACAACCTTTTGTTTCCTTCACTGACATTTCAGTGTCAGAGCAATATGAGATCACCAATCTGCCAACTGGCTGCAGGAGTCAAAGTCTTGAGAGTTTCATCGTGCATACATTTTACTACTTTCAAAATGTTTTGTTCAATTTTTTTCTTCCCAAACTTTCTTATTAAATATTTGAAACATTTACTAGACAGCAGTCTGATGTGTCTGTGTCTGTGATGGATTGAACCAATCTACTGTTGAAGCAAGTGTCTCTTGCTATGTATTTTATAAGCTTAGTAGATTTATTGTAGGATGCAAAACCTCATGGATTATGCTGCAATTTTAGGCTGAATTATAATTGTGCTATTGACACCATGTTTGGCTCAAGGCTCCTTCATGTTGAATGCCTAAATTATCCATTTGGTTTGAAAGAAAGGTGATGCTTTATTCTTGTGGATAGTCTGTTGGGCTTACAGTTAATGTACCTCTTGTATGCCAGAGGTCTGGTTAGTAAATGTTTGCTTGAGTGAGGAAAGAGCCTCTGAAAACATGAGATACTGTAGATGGGGTTAAAAAAAGAGTATAAATGTCTATCACAAAATAGTTTTGCAGTTTTGCAGTTTTGCAGTTTTTCCTCTCCAAAAGGAAACCTTTTTTCATTCTTCCTTTTCACTCAGACTAGCAAGTATTTTTAAAGAAAATAGCTGCTCAGTTGCAGTTTAGCACCTCTTGACATTTCCATTATCTCATTGGTTTTCAGGTTATTTATTGCTTGGCTCTTTTAAAACATGTGGGACAGAAACTTGGCGTAAACACTGTCAGTTCAAATGGAAATCTGTCTCTTCATGTTCTTATACTGGGGTCAGTGCCATCGTATTTTAGTCATTTGAACGTCTGGGTTATTATTTAAATATTATTTCATGGCTCCATAAATATAGATGGCACTGTCCAAAATGACTCCTGTGGTAATATTTATATTTCAAAAAGATCCCATATGATTCTGCAGTTCATTTTAGGTGTTGAAGACACTCAGTGTTTTTTTGAAAGTTTGCAATTTTGTGTGCACAGCTTCAGTGCTTGAGGTCCTTTGGCCCCTTGCAACCTCTGGACACAAAGGACAACATTGGGCAAACCCATTATATGGTTCCCTGAGACAGGGACAGTTGTGGCTGCCTTGGGAAGAAGCATTTTTTCTCCTGGATCACTGGGAATGGGGAATATCCCTGCCAAGCAGAAGGGTAGGATGCACACTGAGGGCAAGAATCCCTGGCAGCTGATCCTGCTATCTGAGAGCTGACACACCTTCTGGAGTAAATTTTTTTCTGATAATTATTTCTTAATTTAGGATTGAAATTAGTTGGGGTGAATTGCTGCAGCAATTGCAATTGTTGGACTGATGCTGCAGCTACATGCAATAGACCCTGAGCTGGAGGGCTGGTCCCAGAGTGTTCTGCAGAGGAGGTCCTGAGGTGGCTGAATGATGGAGGTGGTAGCACAGCTCTCCAAAATGAAGAGGATTTGTCATCCAGCCATGTGGCTTTTGTGCTGCATCTCCATTTTGCTTTTTCTGTCAGATGAAATTTGATTAACTGCACAATTTAATTACTCTGTTCCAGAAATAACCAGAAATGGAGGCTGAGGGTCTTCCTCCTGTTGGAAAGAGCTGGTAGCACAGGGGAAGCCCTTGCCCTGCTTCCCATTGCACCCAGCAGCTGGGGTGCCACCCAGTGACCCCAGGTGCCACAGGTGCCAGCCTGTGAGCCACAGCCAGCCCATGAGGGGATGCAGCCCTCTGGGCCTGGGCTCACAGAGCAGCTGCCTTAAGCCAATAGTTCATCTTAGCCTTTGGTATAAATTACCACATTTTTCTGTCCCCCATGTGTAACCCTAATGCTCTAATGCTTTCAACACAATTTATTTTGCAGACAGATTACCTATTTCCTTGCCATCACCCAGGCTCTTTCTTTTTAATAAAAGCCATCATTACAATACACAGAGAACAAAACTAGTTTTATCTTGACCATGTGAGTAGCAAGCCTGAAAGCTGACCCCTTTCCATGCACTCAGGGTTGTGGAGGAGAGTGTTTTGCCAGACCTGTCTGTAGTCACTAGATGGTTTGGATGCATTAAGGCTTCCTGTGTCAAACTTGAAATGCTTAAAAGGGGGTGGGCTTCAACTGAGCCCTTTGAAAGTCTGATCAGTTGTAGATTTCTCATACAATTCACAATGGGAGGGACCTTAAGAATGTCTCTGGTCCAACCAAGAGATTGAATAATGTTGCTCAGAGCTGTCTCCAGTCTAGTCTTGAAAAAAATCTCTCAGGATAGAAACTCCACAACCTTTCTGGGCAATCTGCTTCAGTAGGGAATTAACTTCACAATCATTTTCCCCACCTCATATTCAATTGGAACTTGTTTCAATTTTTGACCAATGACCTCATCCTTTCTCCATGTAGAGCAATAAAGCTCCATCTTCTCAATAGCCTCCTCAGGAATGTTGGCAGGTTGCATCTAGGTTCTCACAAAAAGTCCAGTCCCCCCAGAAGTGCTCCAGCTTTTAATCATCCTGGTCACCCTGTGCTGAACCTGCTCTGATTTACTGATCCTTCCTGTGCTAAGGACCCCAAAGCTGGACATGATATTGTAGATATGGTGTCACAAATCTGTCCCAGGTGCAAGACTTTATATTTGTTCTTGTGAGATTAGATGGCTCCTACTGAGCTCTTCCTCCAGACTCCTTATGGCAGCCTTGCCCTCCCATCCATCAGCTGCACCTCCAGGTTGGCATCATCTGCCAACGTGATCAGGGTGTCCTGCACCTCCTCCTCCTCCAGGCAACAGAGGAAGGCATTACACGGGATGGGTCTCAGGACAGAACACCACTTCCTACCAGACTTGAGGAAGGTTATGAACCATAATGGTTACAGGGTCTGAAGCTGAGCACTCAGAACCTCCTGCTTCATGCAGTATGCATTGTCATACAGCATCTGTCTTTAAATTAGGTATGAACTAGGTCTCTGAATAGTTCTGTATGGTCTTTTCACAGTCAGTGGTGGTATTAAAAGAGACTAAATTCTTCTAATGACTAATAATTTATATTCTTTTTTTTCTATTTGTTATCACCTACACAGTGATCTAGATAACCCTTTATCATGGTCTAGGTAATGGCTTGACCAAATTCCTCAAGTTTCCCTGAATGAAGACAGGCAAGATTATTTTTATTTCTTACTGGCAACAGATCACTGTAATATTGACCACAAATATTCAATATCCCACTTCATAAATCAGTGGATTTTCCTCTGATTGTACCAGCTATGCTATGAGCTAGATTTTGGGTTGATCCAGCATGGATTTCTTATTATGTTCTTTATGTGTCTTTGTATTGGGATTTTGAATACTATCACACAAGTGAAACACAAGGTGTTAAGTCTCAAAGTTTTGGTTTTTATTTTGTCTCTGAGACAAGAGACAAGGCAGGGAAAAACGCAGGGGTGGACAATGTTGATAGCAGGAAAGTTGTGTGGAAATGTTAGAGTTTTTCTTCATGCAAAAGTTTTTAACACAGGACATTTACCTGTAGATATTCCTGTCTATAGTCCTTAGACTCCTAATTGCTTCCTGTCTGCCAGGCTCATACCAGCAAGCAAAAAGTTTGAAGCAAACCTGGGAGATGATTTCTTCGGGTGAAGAGTGATTTTCTATAGCAAGCACATAAGAAATATTTTGTTCTTTTTCTCCTTTCCTGCAGGTGATATGAAAACTCTTACAAGATCAAAGAGTCCTCATCAAATAGAGGCTTTCCAGCACTCCTTATCCTGTGCAGAATCAATGCTCAGGAGGATGATAGGTGTTTCTTGTGATCTCTGGACTGGTTTAGCTGAGGACCCTGTGGTTGTCCCCTTTGCACGGGCTTGCCAGCTGGCCCAGTAGCACACAGTAACAGCAGACTCAGCAAACCCAAACCCGTTGCCTTTGCCCCCTTCAGGTGACAATAGGACCCTGCAGAACGGGCTGTGTCTTCCCAATACTGGCCATATGCCATCTCCATTATGTCCCATTCAGTTTTGCCCACTTCATCTCAGAAAGAAAATTAGAACCAAGGTAGTGAGTTATATGAAACAGAAATTAAAGACATCAGCTCAGAAAATTGATGGTTCAGAGGTATAACAATGATACATAAAATCATGAATGATGTGAGACAGGTAAACAGGGAATAGTCACTCATTTCTAACAGTGTTAGAACTAATTAAAATAGCAGACAGACAGCTCCAGAGTGACAAAAGACACATTATTTTTACACACATCATAATTAAACTGTGGAACTCAATACTTTCAAGCCAGCTGGGTTTGTGGAATAAAGATCTGTAAAGAGATGTTGGATAGGAGCTGTGGTTCAGAAGTGGGGAGCAGTAACTCTCTGGGAATGTTCCTCTTTGGTACTTTGACCTTATGTATTCCTTCATGTTCATGACAGAATTTGAATACTTGGCTACATGCACCTCTGGTCTGTCTCCAGGCAGCTATTGTTATTGTGTTATGTAGAAGGAAAACTCTTGACAATACATTTATGCTTACAGGGCCAGGCCCTCAAAATGAGGCACAAAAGATAACTAAGGCATGAATTCCTGTCTACTGGACATCTAAATGTATGCAAACATATAAATATTTGCCTTTATTTTGTGCCCACAGCAAGGAAAAGGAGAAACTGGATGGCCAGGTTATTAACAGGGTCTTAAATACCTTGAAAATATTCAAGATTGGTACATCAATTGAAATCAGAATGGTGCCAGCATAAGGGAGGTGACTATGGCTTTGATAAATTTTTCTCTGAAGGTAGTTTCATTATGCTTTCAGGCACCAGAAAATTACTATTTTCCCTCATGAAGGAGATCATCTCCTGTGGAAAGTGCTGTGATTCCACATTTTCCTCTTGTGACTGAGGAACTCATAATGGTCTAGGAGGATAGCAATTATTCTCACAAGCCTGCAGATCAAGGCACCCAGCAGATCAAATGAAAATAAACAGAAAGGAAGTTGTAATAAAAAGCTATTGCTAATGATTTGTGTGAAATCTGAAATATGTATTAATATTTTCTGCTTCCCCCTTCCGGGGACAACTCAGTAGGAGCCTTTCAGTGACATTCCCCTGACTATATTTTTTACAAAGAAAAGAGAATTTGAAATGGAGAAAAGATTATTTTTTAATCTGTGAATCTGCAATATGCTGGCACAGAGACCTGAAGCTCAAAGGCTACATCTTGCTCTAAAACACTATGAAGGAGTTTCTGGTCTAACAGAGCTGATCTTTGCACCTTAAGCTTTTGATTCACACTTTTATAAAACTGCCTCTTAGATTCTTAGATTCTTTTAATTAGTGGCAGGCAGCTTTTGAAAGAGAAAAATAATGGTTAGGTACAGGAGCTGGCAGGAGTTTTCCCAACTCATCAGACCAGATGCTGTTCTGCAAGTTCAAAGGGAGCAGTGAATGCTCCCCACCTCTGGCAACCGGGGCACTTTTATTTAGGTACCCTTTAGACAGAAAAATGTGACATTTGTGGTTTTATACTGTCTCTGTTTGCTTTTGCATCTGTCCAGCAAGATCTGTGGACAGAGCTTTCCTGCCCCTCAGTGATGCCCTGAGGCTTTGTTAGTTGACAGATAGACTGAAAGACAAAAAACAAAAGAGAGCGAGATCACAGAGCGACCTATTTTGTTAACAACAAGGAAAGGACTTGGTGGCTCAGAATATGCAGTGGTAATTTTGGCATTCCTGCCTGAGAGGCTGTTGAGCTGATCGTGACTCATGTCATTAAGATGATTTTAATGTTCAATGCCAGCTGATGAAAATTGAGGTAAGGGGAAATTAATTTTACATGCAAACGACAGAAAAGCATTGGAAGTTAACTCCAGAGAGAGATCATGAGAAAGAAAATCTTGCCTGCCCTGATCTCCAGGGGAGAGTGAGAGAACTACAGAATTTTATTCAGCCATCTGGAAGGAATTAATTTGTGGTACCTTCTGTGTCTAATTCATCAGTAAAATATTGTACAAAAATGACCCAGTGCACATAAGGAACCCGATAAATGTAAAACTAAAGGACTGGAGAAGGACTGGCTGGTGGGGACCCCAGCTGCCAGATGGGCAGCCCATTCCCTAGTCCAACTCCTATTTATTTGTTGATGCGAGGAAAATAAAGGAAAATGCTGACAAAAGGACTAAGAAAACTCACTGTCTCCAAGCATCAGACATTAAATGTGACCAGTTGCTCTTTCACACAAGCTCCTCACGTACAGGGGGAAGCAGTCACCTCCACTGAGCAAACAGAGACCACATGCTAACCTGGCTGGGAAACAGGCTGACTCAGGGGAACGTGGCACCCTGGGAACATTTCAATATTTACAGAACCAAATCCACACTGATTATCTACACTTGCAGGGCTCGGCTGCAAAGGTGGGTCAGCTCTTCTTTCACCAGTACCTCTGTGATGTTGATGAACATAAATGGCCAAGACACCAGCTCTGCAGGTGCCTTTGCCTCTTGCCCACCAGTGTGGGGCATCTGGCAGGACTTCAGACCTGCTGAGCAGCTGCAGCCCCCTCAGGCCACCCAAAAAAAGCAGCTGGAAAAAGCTTGTGATTTCAGTACAGTTTTTTTCTGGACATTGACTACTGCACGTTGGCAGCCACCATCTAATTTCTTTCCAGTGAGATTTTAGGCATCTTGACACTTCTATAAACAGTGCAGAAGCACTACAGAAAGTCACCAGGATTCATGTTACTTCCTGGAGCACAGGTTTCCTTCAGCTGAAGAAACAATTCTTCCTAGTCCCAGAGCAAAGTCTGAAGTCAAAATGGGGAAAAAGCCACTGTTATTACTGAGGCAACTAAGCCCAGTCCCACATCCTGTCCCCAGGCTAATTTCAGACTTGGAAAAAAAGCCGTGGAGTTTGCTGTGTTCCTGGGTAGCCCCTGCACACACAGACCTCAAACAGCTGCAGTATGTGATTATAGGGACTGTGTGCATGCTCATCTTGGCAGCATTCACCTTCTGGTGCCACAGTCTCAGTGCACTCATCACATTAGGAGTAGCTCTGGCAACAAGTGTTGTACTGGGAGAGACAGAATGGTTTTAAGTCCCCCTGGGAGGGAGTTTAGAAGTTTTTTTTGTTTTGTTTTGGTTTGGTTTTGTTTTTGTTTGTTTGTTTGGTTTGGTTTTGGTTTTTTGTTTTGTTTTGGTTTGGTTTTGTGGGTTTTTTTGTTTTTTGTGTTTTTTTTTTTTTTTTTGGTGCCACAGTCTCAGTGCACTCATCACATTAGGAGTAGCTCTGGCAACAAGTGTTGTACTGGGAGAGACAGAACGGTTTTAAGTCCCCCTGGGAGGGGGTTTAGAAGTTTTTTTTGTTTTGTTTTGTTTTGGTTTTGTTTTTGTTTGTTTGTTTGGTTTGGTTTTGGTTTTTTGTTTTGTTTTGGTTTGGTTTTGTGGGTTTTTTTGTTTTTTGTGGGTTTTTTTTTTTTTTTGACAATTTGGGCTCTTTTCTGTTGAGAGATAAGGAGAAGGGAACATCTTTGCACAGCAAACCACCTTGGGGCCTGCCAGGGGGAATCTCTGGGTTGCTCTTCTGAGAGCACCAAACACTGTGGTCACCCAGGAGCTTCCAGAGCTGCTGTGCAATGAGCTTGGCCCCAGACCTCTCTACCCCCACCCTGTATTTCCTGTGCAGGAACCCTGAGAGGCACACTACTGAAGTTTTGTGGCAGAGAAGGTTTGGCTGAAAAATCACTTTGTGATGGAGCAATGCTCAAAGAGCCAATTCTGCTGGACTTCTCACCTTATCATAAACTCAGTGGCACAATGGGTTCTATGTGTACTATAGGATATATTGATTTCTTTGATTTTTGAATACCTTTGAGATATTTTGGTGAACATTTTCTAAGCTCAGGCTCTTCTGGAATATTGGTAGATTTTGTACATATGTGGAAATTTGAGATAAAATAATTTTGTGTGCAAAAAGAGGAGAGAAATATCTTTAGCTGATTATATTTAAGAAGATTCGGGTGTTTTTTTGACTAGTCTTCCTGACAAAGCTGTTGGGAATAAAATCCTGATTTTTTTTTTTTAGTAGAATTTTCTCCATGTTATGCTGAATTTGGTAGCTATTTGCATGAAGTACATTTTCTTTAAAGTCATGTAGTGTGCATGATATACACAGCCTAAGAAAGCCACCCTGTGCTTCACAAACTGCTAAATGATGTAGGAGAGCCCAAAGAGCTGGGAAACACAGCCAGAACAGTCATTTCATGCACAGCTCCCTCCCACAGAGCCTTGCTTGTGTGATCAGGCCTCTTCTATGACCTGCTCTGTTGTTCCCAATGCTGCTTTTATCCTTTGAAAGCATTAATTACATCATTTCTGGGGCTGTAGGGCCAGACTCCTGAATAACTAGGGTTTTTCTTTTTTAACCTTCCATTTCTTTCTATCCTAAAGGATGAGTTGGCTTCAGAAGAATTCAGATGAAGAGAGGCAGCAGCAGGAAGCAGAAGTTACAGGAGCTAATCCAGCATATCACTGTCACAGCTACTCACAGGCCTATGAGAACAGACAGAGGGAGCAGCATCAAGCCAGGAGGAAGCTCTGTGTAGCATCAGTAATTTGCACCTTCTTCATGATTGCTGAGATAACAGGGAAGTATATGTGTTCCAAAAGAGCCCAGTCTGGTGCCCAGCACAGCCACATCCTTGCCTTGAGTGCACTCTGACTGCAGGGACCACGCCAGGGGTGAACCCACCTGGCACTAAATAACTCTCCTTTGTCCCTGGTCATTAAAATAATTGGGGGGAGGAGAGGGTTTAAGTGAAATTTTCAAAATATTTTCATATATTCATTCAAGGATTGCACCTGGGTAAGAATACAAAGATCAGTTAATGGTCTTAACTTTTCTTCCAGGTCTTTAAGCTTGACTGATGCACGTTTTAGCATCACAAAAGGTTGTCTAATAAATTGGTTACATTCTTTTTAAAAGATTTTATATATTTATCCAGGCCAATGAGACCTCAGCACTGATAAAGGCTGCTAGCAGTAGGGTCTGAAAATAAATGCAAGAGTCTTTTCAAAATCCAGGGAAATCCAGGGCCAGATTCACCATCTGTTTTTCTACAGTTAAGTCAATGTATTTATATCAGGGCACATTTATCTTTTAAATTGGCCTGCTGGTATGCCTCTGGATCAATGGAAGATTATTCCCTTACTTAATTAGCTTTCACTTCTGGATCCACCCTACAACATCCAATATAAGTATTTGGCTTGCTCATGGAGTATTGGCTTTCATTTTGTCTCACTGCTCTGCTCTCTCCATGGATTCTGGGATATTTATATCCACCTGATAGCTCCTGGCTCTTTAATTTGCCCTTCTCTGCAGTGAGCTGAGGTAAGGGAAGGCATGGGGAATCCCACAGACTTCTGCCATATGTGTTCCAGCCCATGTAACAAAAATCAGCCAGGAAGGCCTCTGAAACTCATATTTTCCCAGCTCAGACATCTCTGGAGCCCCATGAAAACGAAACAGAAAGGCTTTGTCTTCCCTGCAAGTGAGAAGTGGAGGCACGGAAAGAGTTGCTGCATTTCTCCTCTGGCTGCCAAACCCAGCAGGGACTTCTCCAACTCTTCCCTCCCACGTGCTCCCTCTGCATGAAGCCCTGTTGTTTGTGGGTCATGTGCATTTCCCCCATGAAAACCAGTGCTGCTAATCCCCATGCAGTAATTTCCAGTGCCAGTAGGGCATTTTTAACAAAACCATATAATCAGTAGGCTTAAGTTTGGTGAATGTGGCTGTGCTAGAGGGTAATTGGAAGGACAGCTGATATGTTAACTAAATGTTTCGTTTTGCTTAATGAATCATGCAGCTTTTTTGCAGTGACAGCTTAAGTAACAGGCTTGAAGACCGTTTTGCTTCAGACCATTAAACTTTGACAAACCAGTTATTAACTGCAGTTACAGACAGCTCTCTGTGGAGATTTTTGTAATTATGAACCATACATTTAATATTTTTAATCATTAGGCAAGACTGCTGTGCCTGATGATTGACCATTGAGTGACTGACAATTTCTACTGCTTGTGGTCTATAAATCTATAAACATCCATTATAGGGAAGGGTAAGTCTTAAAGGCCACTTGTTGGGAGTATTGATAAAAAGCTGTAAAAACCTATAACTATGACACTTATTTTACTCCTGAAGATAAAGAGTATCTTCCCCTCCCCTCCTTGCCCTCAGAGGGCAAACAGCATCCGTGGGCATTATTCTGCTAAACAGAAGAAAAAAAGCTCTCAGAGAGGTTGAAAACTTGTGTTTCTTTGAATGCCTAGACCTTTGAAGGCCTAGACCTTTCCAGGATATTTTTCTCAAGCCATCTGTGCTGGCCATTACTGCTTTCCCAAACGGGGCACTGCTGGTTGAGCCTGATACACCACCAAAGATTGTCTCTTTGAAAGACAATCACCTCCTGTTCTTCTAAGGCAGATCCATCACAATCTCCATAGATCTGGAGGTATCAGTCAGACCAATACTAGCCAGTGTGGAGCCCAGATATGAAAGTGCTTTCCAGTGATTTTTGGTGGTTAAGGACCAAATGGCTTTCAAAGCACTTCCACTTGGGCAGTAGAAAGAAAGACAAACACTGCATGTGGTCTCATGTCAGAGCAGGACAGAAAAACTTGATCAGTGAGACAAGTTGCTAAATTAAACAGACTGAGATCTCTGAAACTCACCCAAGGCTTTAGTTATGCCACCAATACATAAAATAATAATTTGCAAACATTTTTCAAAGGCAGTAGGCTAGCAGCAAGCTTTTGAGATGCTGTCCCACAGAACATGGAAATAGAGTATATAAAATGCAATAGGGTTTTGCCCACAGCTTGTGATCTACATATTTGTTTGCTGAAAGATACCCGATGCCTGGGTTATTAAATCTGGGCACTGCCAGACAAGCCTTCTTCCCCCTGCTAAGGAGAACTGCCTCCCTCTTGAGATAATTACCCTGAAAACAGTGAAAGTCTAAGAGATGTGTCATGACCAAAAAGTATCTCTGCATTTACACTTGAGCATGTGCTGGGAAATACTTATTCTGATGAATTTTTCATTTTACCACGAGGAATGAGATGCCCCCAAATTCTGCAGCCATGCTTTCTCCCTTTTGGAAGTAACTTTGAGCAAAATTCTGCCCTGAAAAAACTTATGGTGTTAGGTATTCTAATCTAAAATAAGCATACAGAAGGAAATTAAACAGCCAGTCCATCCTGCTGGCATGAAAATTCTCTATCTATAAGGAAACAAGAGATATATCTACATGTCCTTTTGGCAGTGGTATGTTGCCAGATATTTGAATGAGGCATTTTATTATGTTTTCCAGGATTCATTAATTCTCATACAGGTTGTGGTCAGGAGAAATGAGTGAGCTGAAATTAATTAAATGACTGAAGAATCGAAATGCATTACCAAATGCAGAAACTACGTTTTTTGGCTCTGTTATTTCACATGTCTACTTTTACATTTGCACTTTGATGAAAAGATTCCCCTGCTGTAATGTGTTGGAACCACAGTGTCCTGCCTGGAATCCTTGTCTTCTGCAGCCACCAGGACCTGGGGCAGTTTAATGCAAACTTTTAGTTTATTTGGATTTGTCTTTAGCCCTGAGGTGTGGTTAGAAGAGTTTGGCAAAATAATGATATTTGGCTTACTGAGTAAAAGAAATGTGAATTAAAATAACCCAAAATGTTTTCAATTTGGTGGGGTCTTTTCCTTCAGAATCCACATAAATCCAAACCCCCACAGAGTAAAATGATATTCAGCCACATTTATTGAGGTCTAGCAGGAAAGTTAAGTCATGCATTTCAGATTCCAAATGATAGATTGGTCCTGAGAACAGAACATTTTTTTCTATGCCCTCACTAAAATGAGGTTGCTTGCTTATCACAGTTCTTCTACTGGGATCTTTCAGTGTATTCCTGTTTTAGTGTTGCCTGTGACAAATAAACAGTCAGGAAGCAGGAAGAACATGCATATTTTCCTGTAACAAATAGGAAATTAATCCCATAAGCTAGGTCTCTGAACTGTTGTACATACATAAAAGTATCAGTGTTCTGTGAAAAGATAGTGGGAGGATACTGGAAATGTGATTCCTAATATGGAATTTCACAAAAATATGGCTTTTTACAAAAAGAAAATCTGATATTAACATAGTCAAATGGTACAATAGTAATGTAACTACAGGACTAATGTATCACAACTCTTACTGTTCTTAGGTCTCTCTCTAAGAGATTTGGCTTATGTATTTCTATTAATTCATCCCTTTCACTGCATGAACGAGGTACAAAATGAAATTATCTTCGAAGAGGCTTTGGTCTTGTGCATGACGACTGAAAATTGAGCGTTCCCTTTGATTCCCAGTAACACAGGTGTTGGGTTGGATGTGTTTGGCTGCGAGCCCTGGGCAGAGCTGTGACCCTTTCCAGTGGTGTCTCACACAGGTGGGCAGCTCGCCGGGAGCCTGGCCGTGGTCGGCGACGCCGCGCACCTCCTGGTGGACCTGACAAGCTTCCTGATCAGCCTCTGCTCCCTGTGGCTCACCTCCAAACCTTCTACCAAGCAGTTCACTTTTGGGTGGCACCGAGCAGGTAGCAAACATGGCATGTTATGAACATCATGTGGAATGGGAGAAGGGAGTTATCATAGCCAGGGACTGGAGAACAAGCTGATGTGCAACAGAGGGCTGCAGGCATTTAGAGACAGTGCACTAATGCTCCCACAGCTCTCAATACAAAACACACTAAAACAGTGAATTGTAAAGAGGTAAATAGTCACCCTTTATCTAAAATCATGTCTTTAATTTCATTATTTACCAGAGTTTTGGACTGGTGCTAACTGTGGTTGAAATAACAGCAACTTCTCTCAGTGACTTGAGTGTGTGGAGGACTGAGCTTTCAACCTGTTATGAAACAAATTTCTAGAAAAGCAACAATATCCATAAAAACTAGGGTTTGCTCCATTTCTAAAGCAAATTATTACATTATTTTTAAAAGCTCACAATGTTACATTTGTAGAAAAGTGGGGTCCTTTAATATTTACCCTTTTCTAGAGTCTCTCCTTTCATATCTCTTTATCACTGTTGGTTTCTATCAGATGCAAACAGGTTTTTAAAGTACTCTGTCCTCCACCTAAACCAACCATTTTACAGATGATACCTAATACCAAAATCCTGACAATCAAACACAAGTGTTTTTGCAAAAGACAAGACACTAGCAAAATACTAACCATGAGAATAATTTTCTGGGAGTATGGGTCTGTTCAAGATTTAGACACCCAAATATCAATGCCTACATGCACATGAGCACCTTTAAGCACAGGGTCCAAGTCTCTGATATATTCAACAAGAATCTTAACTCCATTCAGCCTCCTAAACATGGAAGTCCAGTGTGTCAGGGAAGTCTAGGATGTCAGAGGCTATGCATGGGAATGGCAGCTGTTGCACAAGACCTGTAGGAAACTGAACAAGGTGTCAAGCACAAAATCAGGGCCTGTCAAATATGACCAGACACTCATAAGTAAGAAACCAGTAAGTGTTCCCAGTCAGCCAGTGAAGAAGGGAGCTGTGACAATCAACATTGATTTGATGTCCACTGTCCACAGAGGGAGCTTAGACACTCAGGTAATGCTTACAGGTAGGCAATTTAGTTGTCTCTGTCTGAAAATAAGTCTCATGTTGGTTGTCTCAGGACTCGGTTTTGTTGCTTAGATGTGAATGATTTGTGGCATTTGAAATCCAGTTGCCACTCTGGAAGTCTGTGGGTCAATTATACACCTTGTGTCAAGCCATGCATGGAGGTGTTAGTGTACCTCAAATGACTGCAGACACCTGTGCACCGGAACCAAAGACTCAGATGATACATTCTTCAAGGATATTTATTAGCAAAGTCCAGAAACAGCTTCTGACTCAGATGTCTGTAGGCCAGGGCTGGTTGTAGCTGCAGAGAGTAGCAGGGAAGGCATGTGCCACACTCACCCTGCCCTTCTGTCGCTCTCTGAGAGTATTCTACCAGCTCTGCTGGAAACAGCTGCTGGGTGATGGGAGGTCCAGCATGGCCCAAGCATGGCTGGCATTATTAGACAACACACAGCTGAATTTTGCAGCCTTAGTAAACTGCTACTAAACATGAGTTGGTCTACCATTACTTTCATGTTTATTATCTCTTATGCTGGGGGGGAAAAAGTGAAAGAGAAACCTCTCTTGATGATGTAGGCAGGTTCAGCCACTTCATGTAACTTCAACCTCAGTCTGAACGAAATTGTGTTTATTTTGTCATTGCAATGCAGAACTTGAAAACCAACCCTTTTTTGGCCTTTTTATCCTGGTAGAAAAAAGAGCCTTGCATCAAATGTTAGAAGCTATTTAATTGCATTCCATGATTGTTACCCTGCTTCTTGCTTATTTTCCCAGCTATATTCTCAGTTTAATATGCAGGTGGGCACCTTAATAGAGTAGCTGAGGGCAGTCAGGTGGCAAAGTCACTCTTCACTGACTACCAGGGTCTTGAAGGAGCAGCCCTCCATGACACTGGAAGATGTTTCTTCACTGCTTCTCTCAGACTGATAGATATTATCATGAAAAGACTCTTTATGGTAGTGCTCAGGTTTAGCCATCTAATGCCTCCTGCCCTCCATGCCAAAGCAGTGCAGCTACTTTCACAAACACAGAAACACAATATTGAATAAGATTGATAGTGTGAGCCAAACTATTTTCGGGTACAAAACCTCTCCTGCACCTTAATCATCCTCAGCTGTACTCAGAGATCCTCACACAATCCTACACTATTGTTTGCTGTACTGTTAGTGCTAGCAGTTCTGAAAAAAAAGAAACTGAGAACATCTCGAGTGAAGTATGTAGTGCTGCTGAACTGATCTGCAAGCTTAATTAAACTTTTGCCAAGATGCTCCATTGAAAATTAATATGTAAAGATGACCACTAACATGTTCTGTTATTGAAGATTTGCATAAATCCACACAGGTGGATACGTGTGCTCACAAGAGCTCTTGACTGCTTTCATGCCAATGACAGCACAGCCATCAACACCTTCAGCTGGGCCAAGTTTGCAGGAGTTCAACCTGCAACTTGCAAAAAAAAAAAAAAATTGTAAGATTTATGTTTGCTCCTATCTACTTTTGAGCAAAACTAAATTCCCCTGTCAGTGCACTTTGATTTATTATTTTCCAGTTTTAGGCAAAGCAGTTATTTGATAAGCTTTTACAGCCTGCAAAAGAGGGGATCCCCATAAAATCATACAAAAAATCACAAGCTGTTTTAATGGATTGTCAGTGGAGGTCTGTGCAAATGCTTTCTGGCTGTCTGCTGCCTTTCACTTTACTGTGAGCTTGCATTTTCTTTGGTATTGTCTCAGTTGTGCTCATTTACCCATTCAAGTCACATGGCAATTACTACTCCCATATCCTATTAAAAGCATGCTGCACGTTCATATGCACTTCCCTGGACCTCTCCTATAACAGTGCAATAAAAGCTGGCCTTGGGGACTGGATTTATTTGAGCCCAGCTCAAAGCCAATAGAGACAAAATTAAATTTTGCTACCCCAGGGAAAAAATAACTTCTTTTGTTCTCATCACAGCTGGTGGCACAAAAATGACTTTGTGGCATTGGCAGAATGAGTTCCAGGATGAGTTGTGCTGACAGGACCTCATTGGGAGCTGCTACTCTCTTTCTGAAACGTGAAGTGGTGAGAGGTGTGCAGAAAGAGGGGAGGCTGTGCCTCTCTCCTTCCTTCAAACCTCTCCTCCTGTGATGGAGATAACCTTGTTGGGAGAGGAGGGCTGATCTTTATGGGTGTCACACCACAGTCAGGGCCAGGCAAACTCCTTTTGCTCCTCCCAGAACTCCCCAGATGATCTTTTACAGATCTCCAATCTCTTAGAATGTTGCATGAACTCAGCACTGGAAGGGGACAAAAGCAGGAGCAGGTAGAACAGGGTTAGGCCACCACATGCACAAGGCTACCCTGGATTTTTATGATCAGAAAGGAGCTTGGCCCATTCTTTGTGAGCTTTAAGACTGCCAGCATACGAGAAGCATCTCTTCTGGCTATAAAGATCATACACCTTGAGCCATTATCATCAAACTCTTAAAAGTTTTTGCATTCCTATTCTGACTGTTAAAATCAGGTTTTCTTCATTCCTAGAAATTCTGGGAGCTTTGATGTCTATGATAATAGTTTGGATGGTGACTGGTGTGTTGACATATTTGGCTTGCATGAGGCTGCTACACCCAGACTATGATATTGATGCTACAGTGATGCTCATTACCTCTGCTTGTGCTGTGCTCACCAACATCCTGTAAGTTATTTTGTTCTCCTCTCAAATGACATTTGAACCTTGAACCTGCTGCTGTAATTCAATTAAAAAACCAAAAAAACTATATAGAGATAACGGCCTCAAAAATATTAAGTGTTTATGAGTTCCATGAGGGTATGGAAAGGGGTCAAAAAGAGAGGTCCTGCTTCTCACTGGAAGTTGCAGTTGCTCTCCTCCTTTCTATTAGCAGACACACTGGGAAGGAAAATTATGAATCTACAAACCCCAGGAAAAGATTATTTTCTGTCTCACTTTTTATTAGATGTCAGAATATTCAAGAACTCTATAGAAAATGAGGCCTCATTAATTACCCCATTCACAGACTTTCTTGATTATGCAAATCACTGAAAACCTAGGAATGTCTGCTCAGCCACCTCTGCATTTCTACTTAATGTGTCAGATCTTACTGTTGAGCATTCAGAAGTGACAGGGGTGGTGATGTGTGTGGCCTCACTGCTTTCAGAGATGCAGTTTATCCTCTGATATTTGCAGCTTTACATCTCTTGCAGACTAAGCCTGATTCTGCACCAGAGTGGCCACGGGCACAGCCATGGGGCACAAGCCAGGGAGCACACGGCAGCCCCTCTGCAAAAACCAGCTCTGAGCAATGCCAGCCTGCAGGCAGCCTTCGTGCATACCATTGGAGATCTATTCCAGAGCATTAGTGTGCTAATTAGTGCACTTATCATCTTCTTTAAGGTTGGTTTTATTAGTTCGTATGCCTGCCTTGCAATCAAGGCTAAGTGCTATTTTCACAGCGTTGTGACACTAGGTACTATGTAAATATTTCCTCTGTCTTAATCATACACACTGTAATTGTATTAAAGAGAATTATTCTTGGGAACTGAAATAACTGTTGAGAGTGTAACCCTTGCTTCTTGCTGTTTCAACTGGATGCTTTGGTGTCTCCCTTTCTTCATCTGTAACACCTTAATTCCCTGTGCTGGCAAAGGGGGCCAGCATTTGTTCTCTACTAGATGAATGGAATTTATTATTCTTTCATGCTAATTAAAAATGACAATAACCAACAATAATGAAATTAACAAAGTGGTGTGTTCATATTTTTCTAGCCACAGTACAAAATAGCCGACCCAATCTGCACATTTGTGTTTTCCATCTTTGTTTTGGCAACTACCATCACGATTTTAAGGGATATTTTAACTATCTTAATGGAAGGTAGGACTTGATTTCAGAATCAATACATTTACATTTTGACTTTTTTTCTGTTGCTTTCTCCATAATGCTTATATATGCTGGAAAAAAAAGTATAATGGCACATTTCTGTATCAATTTCCGATACTCTCATAATTCTGATCATACTTTAAACCTTCTAATTTTAATCAAATTTTTTTTTTCCTACCAATACATTAGGTTTACACATATGCCAGTTTTTGTAAAAGCTTTCATACTGGTATTTTGCTAATGAGCTCTGAATTGCTTTTGTTTGCCATATGTGTAGCATTTCTTTCTATCACCCCTTTGGCATGTGAGATGCCTACTCACCTTGTTCATTGTCTATTTCCTTTACCTGTGTGAAATATAAGTCTTTGCCAAGAAAAGGTGCCTTTACTGTGCTTTGAGCTGTGTCTGTGAAATAGGCTGAGTGCAAGAGGCAGAAGTTTAAAAGATTTTTAGTTATGTGAGTCCAGAAAAGCAAGCTGTTGGAGCTTTCCAGTTGCATTCCAGTGCATGGGAATAGACAATTCTCAGCACAGCAGCAGCAAGAAGAGCCAGGCTTAACAATATTTAATCCTGTCAGCTATGGGCCTGAATATTAGATTTGAAAGGCCAAACGACTTGAGCAGTCACAGAAGCATGTTTTTGCCTTACTCACATTGAATAATATAATGCAACCTCTTTCTCAGCTGTGAAGACATGAGGATTAAAGGGAAAAGCAGCTCTAAATGTGCAGGTTTTGAATGGGTACTAAGTGTGACTGCCTGCATGGCTATTTCTTCTCTCTTTCACTTGCACCTACTGCTGTTTCAAGAAATAAAATATCTGTTAAAAACCAAAAATTAAATCTCTGTTAGAAAATGCTGTTACAGTAGTTTCATTTGAGCATTGGTTTGCTTTCAGTGACTGTGAGATAGAGATACTTCAATGTAGAAGTGTACCTAGGCAAGAGCATGGCAACTGACTGTAATTTGGCTGCCAAAATAGCACATCTCTTGGTTACTGGGAAAAAAAAAATCAAGCTACCAGGAAGAGGGAGCACCCCCTGACACTCAGGTGTCTCTTTCTTAAAGCAGTGACTCCCAGCTTCTGTAAGCAGTGCTGACGTGCCAAAGCCAGCAGTGCTCTGTTCCCCTCTGCACAAAGCCCACTGTCCTCCTGGGGAGCTCTGGGGAGTGTCCTATCTCCTAAGCAGAATATTCTGCCCAGAATTTTCTAAAAATAAAGTGGATGCTGGAGCTGCTGTTTCAGTTTACTGATCCAAGTGGAGCATGATGAGTTCATGCTGTTCACGTAGGCATAGAGATGCACTCACAAAAGATGTTGGTGCAAAACTGCGACATGATCTGGCTAAACAGCTCACCACCCTATGTAAACTGGACATTCAGAATATCCCCTAAAACATGCATGAATCTCAACCTTCCATGGAGAAGTTTAAACCAAGGGTTAAGATTATATAATACAGTGAACTCTGAAATAGATGGGCTTTCCAAAGCATTGAATACTTCTTTATAAAAATGATACATCTAAGTGAATAAAGGTTCATGATTAATTTTCCTCTATTGATCACAATTCTTATCCCTTAAAAATACTGGTTTTCCATCAATTTCTCCTTTTCAGGAACATCAAAAGGATTTGCTTATGATGCTGTAAAAGCAAGAATTTTAACAGTTGAAAAAGTGGACTCTGTTCACGACCTTCATCTTTGGTCTCTGACAATGAATCAAACTGCTCTCTCTGCTCACATTGCCACAGGTCAGTAAATTTCTGTAAGCAGGGAGTAACTATTCAGCTGCTGTCTAGTAAAGGTCAGTCTTTCTTGATTCAGATTAAGCTGACTGTATATCTGTTGCTTGTTAAAAAAAATTGTCATAATTTTGTTGGAAAAATAAAATCAACAATAATAACAAATAAAGGTCTCGGATCCTCCTCCCAGGAACCTTGTCTAAACAACAGGGACCTCTACTTAGGCCAAAACTAGAAAACTGCAGAGGCTGTGGGACAACACAGTAAATGACAAGACATTAAAACTAAATTGAAATAATTAGACTCAAACCGGATTTTTACCACAATTTTGTCAAACTTGAAAACTGTTGATCTCTACAAGAAAATCTTACAGGGCAAATATGCATTCCTGATGTATCTCCAGAAGTAAAGCAGTCTTTAAAAATAGATGGAGTTTAGAGGTAGCTCCAGTTCTTATTTTAAAATATTATTTTAAATGGTAGTTCTTATCCCAATTGACAAACTGTGCACTACTCAGGTCAATTTTCTTATCTGTCTGTCAGATTTTTATGTATTAAGAAAAATAGAAAAGCCAGCTGTGTTTGGCCAAGGATGGGGCTAGAGGTGAAGTCCTCCATGGAGTCCCCACTTTCCAAAAACAGAGGGTCTATCAGCACCCAAACCATTTGGCACTGATGCTACTCCCTGACTGGATGAACTAATCTTTTTAAAGTATTTCTGCTTTCCTTCAGTCTTTTGCCAAACTGAATTTCTATGGTGATTACTTAATTTAGCTTAACTCTTGCCAAAATTACATATTCCAACCACATTTGAATGAACAAAGGTTTGCTGACATGGAGGTTCCTGAAAGCAGGATAAAAAGGACAAGAAACACTTTTCAAACAAACTTCTTGTTATAAGTTTCTATCCTAGAAGTATACAATATCTATATTAGACATCAATGTCTACATTGGAAGTATACAATACTTTAAAGTATTATCAAAATGTATGTTTTGATTACTTTCTGCTTGCTATCTGTAGCAGACTCAGCAGACAGCCAGAAGATTTTGAGAGATGTTACCCAAGCCCTGTTTGAGCACTACAGCTTCCACTCCATCACCATTCAGATTGAATCAGGGGAGGATCAAAAACCAGACTGTGTCTTCTGCCAAGAGCCCAGGGATTAAAGGGAGCAGTGTGCTATTCCAAATAACCATCACCTCTCTTACAGGTCAATGGAGACTGTATGTGCTGGTTGAATGTAATTGATTAACAACAAATGGTAATTAGTTGACATAACAAGCCCTGCCATTGCAAGCAAAGCATGGGCCTTTCTTTGTTGATATCATCTACCATGAGAGAGCAAGTATTAAATCCAGCCATTTGCTAGATTGCCTGTCCATCAGCTGTTTCTTTCAATTACAAGAGAAATACCTAAATTATTCTTGACTAGACCAGCAGGTTGGCACTAAAGCAACATTTAGAGTGACTGTAATTACAGGTAACAAAAAACTAATCAACCTTCAAATTACCAACAGACAAATTATCACAGGTGTAATGAAATGTGAGTTTGGTGTTAGCGAACTCAGCACTCACTCAGGATAAAAGAGAAAATTTAAATTACTACAAGAGTTGAAGAAATCTGAGGAAGAAAGTGATAATGTTTTCTCTGCCTTTTGGCAGACACTCCTCTTCCTGCCTACTAAGGGAAGTATCAGACAGGTACCATTGATTGCAAGAGAATGGACCTCAAGAGAATGGCTCACAAAAGAGTTCATTCCATTTGTATTTGGCAAACAGCTCTTTGGTTTTTTAGCTCCCCCTATTTATGTTTTCAGCCAGCCTTCAGGCAAACTCTTTTCTGCCAGGCATGAGAAGAATTCTGAATGATTAACCCATAACTTGCACTATGATAAGTTATGAGAGAAGATTTGAGGTGGATTTCTGTGTGTCCATGTCAGAAGGTACCACTGAGTCATGACAATAAAACAGACCAGGTGCTCTTAGAAAAGGAAAAAATAATTAGGGCAAGGAAAATCTGGGACCAATTGTGAGCATTCTGTCTGGTCTCACAGTCCAGAGTGACCTGTGGGGTGTTACCCAGTGACACTACTTCCCCTGAAATTATACCAGATAATTAAAAAAAACCTTTGGCATATCACACAGCCATTCATTGTAAGGGGAAGTGACATGCCTCTCCTTCAGGTAACTAATTCCCACATTTCCTAATAAGATGTGTGTCATGGCTTCCCCAACTGAGTGTTTTCACCAAAAATGCTTGCTCACTCCCACATTCCCCCTCCCCTTCCCCTGCCGTGGACTAGAGGAGAACTGGAGGCACAAAAGGTAAAAGTTATAGTCTGGGATAAGAACCATTTACTGAAAACAGCAATGAAGTAAGAAAATGAACCGTAACAGCAGCAACAGCAATGACAGAGGATACCAGAGGCAAATGTTTCACCTGACAGTGCTCACCCCTGGCAATACCCTGCCCTGCTGCCACACTACACAACTCCTTTCCCCATCCCTGGGAAATGATAGCAGGTGGTATAGAACAACCTCCAGGTCCTGCCCATGCCCCCTCCTGGCAGCTGCAAAAATTAACCCTGCCCTGGCCAGAAGCAGGAGAATGTGTTAAATCATCCTCTTTTACATATCTGGCAATGCTTACAGCAGAACTGAGAACAAAGAGTCAGGTCTTGCTGCAATCTCTCTATTTTTGTCCAACCAACTGAATTAAACTCTCACCTCTTGGCAAAAGCAAGGGTTGCACTTCAAAATGCATGCTCCAGTGCTCCAAAAAACAGCTTCAATTCTGCCCCTGGCCCTAACAGTGCTTACCATGCAGAACTAGACATAATGTTTTCCCTCTCCACAGTTCTCTCTCCAACAGCTGTAGGGCTCACTTTACTAACAGGTTTGTTAGAACAAAATAAATTGTGTGATACCAAGTGGTACTGACTTTCCAGACTGATAGTTGGAAGGACCATTGTGTTATTAAGGTATAAATGGCCCTTGCTTTTTAGGAAATTCAGTTTTATTAGCAATATGTTCACATTAGTTTTCTCCTTTATCATTCTAAGGAGATTAGAATTTTTTATTGGGGCTTTTGACTACAGATAACACATAACTACGTGATGATGGATTGATGTATTAAGCTGGCATTTGTTACCTGGTAGGGGGAACAAGAAATTATTCTGCTTAGTAGAAGATCTTACTCAGGTAAACCTCCCACTGAAATCAGATGAGGTATTAAAACAAAACACCCGCTAGGAATTTCATGAGTATCTCATTATTTATCAGCTTGAAAGAGCTGAGGCTATAGCAGTGATATTCAGTGCAGTGATAAAGACAATTCTTGCCCTTCACAGCTGAAACTCCAGAAGATAAGACACAAATAAATCAAAGCACAGTAAGAAATTCTAAATGATGAAGTTAACTTGTATTTCAGCCAGTTTCTCTGCTGGTATAATTTAGCATAGTTGCCTCCTTCCAAAGGCAACTCAGCTGTGCTTGTCAGGTAACCTGAGTATTCTTTTCATTACTTGGAGAGGACAAGTTAATAGTGTGGCCTTCATATGAAAGAAAATGTCTTTCCAAGAGTTTGGAATAAAATGAGTATATAGACCTGAATGTAATAGGGAATTCTGAGGAAGGGTTTTGTGGTCAAGGCCAGTGTAAAAGATAACATGTGGGTGACAGAAACATGCATATAGGACATAGATTCATAGTTCTGAGATTAAGGTTGAGGTAGGGAAAAAGACCAGAATTTTAAGAACAAGAGTGGATTTTGGAAAGGATTTAAATGGGCAAGTGATATGGTCCACTAAGAGAGTTATGCTGAGTAGTAGAGCTGTGAAAAATCTGGATGGAAGCAACAAAAGAGGGGCTGGAAAAAAGAAGATTCAGCAGTCGGCCCCAAGACTGCTGAGGCTATCAGGCAAATTAATTGAAAGGGAAAGTGGGAAAGTGTTTCATTATGTTTTGAAAAAAGGAGCAGTGAAACATAGGGATGTAAGGAAAGGAGTTCATATGAAATAATGATCTGTGATGAAAGAGAGTGGAGGGAAAGTGGTAAAAAAGTCTTAAGTAGGATGTGAGGCAGCAGCTTCCATCCACGTAGTGTAACCTGGGTATGTGAGTAGTAAAGGTCAGGGCAGGATTAGGGAGGCAGAGGAGAAGTCTGGGTTTGTTAGCAGCAGTAAATATATTTCAAGCAAAAAGAATTTAACCACATGTCTTTAGCTAAAGCTAGAGACCTAAGGGAATTTTACCTAAATATGATAGATTGAAGATTCATTTAGAGAAAATATTTACTTGTCGTTACAAATATTGCTATAAGGAGTTGAATGTTTAATGTTCCTGCTATGCATGTGTGAATGTAAATGAATGTAAAATGTATGTTTGTTCTTCATTCCTGTCTAGTCTGATCCTCAGGGTTGTGATCTTGGTATAAGGTTGTCTTCAGAATACTGTCTGACTGACTGGGGAGGATTTCTGCAGAAATGCTACTGAGATATGCAGAGGTCAGAGACAATTTCTAGACTTGTCTGCTTTTATTAACTTTACATCGTTTTGGCTGTCAGAAGGATAACTACACAAAAACTGACCAAAATTGCTATATCTAAAGTATTCTTGGAACCACTGTGAAATGGAATAGTGTTTCTCATGTAAGTGGTCTGTTTTCCATGCCTGGCTGTTTTCTGATGGAGTTCAGTCCATATGGGCAAGTACAGACTTTACTTGGCAGATCATACTGAAATTCTCTGAATATGTGTATACTCATTTTCCTCTAAATTTTCTTTCAAAATATAAATAAACTTTCAAGACATTTTGGAGTACAAATCTTGAAATAGTCAAATGCAAAGCTAAACTTTCCTCTTTCAGCAATGAAAAAAAGGTTAAAGTGCCACTAGTGCACTGAGAAGACCACCAAGCAGTGACAGAAGTATTTATAATTATTCAAGCTGGGAACAGTTCAGGAACAAATCTATTATTATCATCAATAGAATAGTGTCTTACTGCAACTAAGGTCATAGACGTAGTTCTGTGTTCTCCTGAAATGTTATTATGAGAACTGTATATGAAAACAAGAATTATACTGTCCACTTAGTGTAAGAAATCACAGCAGTAATTCATCATCTCCAGAGGAAGGCAAACAGATATCCCTGTTCCTGGCAGCAAATGGTGGTCTAAGGAAAAAGGACTGTGCAGGTCTGCAATAGGTCTCTTTCCAATGCCAAGAGGTTATATCCATTTTGTTTTGGAGCATTTTCTCCTCTGTCATAACAGCTAGCATGCCCCAACACACATTCCCCAGTGCCTTCCCCTCAGCCATAGCAAATACACTCTCCTTCCTTTTCCATTCCCTTTGGCTACTGTTCCCTTCTTCCTTGCTCTTCTATTTTTGCCCATGTCTCTTTTTTCATCAATGCCTCTATCACCCACCTATTCAAATTTCAATGCCAACATGTACTTGAAGCATATCCTTTCTACTTACACCTTTTCCCATTCCTCTTCAACCCGTGTGGTTAGATAAAAGCTCCTCAGAAAGAAACTGCCTTTTGCTCCATGTTTGTTGAAAATGGGGCATAATGATGCATCTTTTTTCACAACAGGAACTTAATAAAAACAAAGAGCAACAGCCATTCCAGACATCACATATTAGCACGTGTCCAGTACTGCTATATATTTACTTTGTACTAAAGTTATTTAGAATGTTCATAGCAAAAAAAATTATCTGAACAGTCTCCAGATTAAGGTACTCTTTCATGTTATCAAGCTTTCTGATAATCTCTTTCAGCTAAAAAAAATAAAATCCTTTCTCACTTCAGTACACACAGTTCAAGCAAGAAAGAAATTGCAGACTTCCAGTTGCTTAACTGCCTCCTTTGACTTCTCTCTGCTTGGACTTTGTGTCAGACAGTCAGTGTCTAGCAAGAGTGCACTGCAGCAAAGGAAGTTTTGGACAGCAGCCCGGTGAGAACAGTGTCTGGAACAGAAGCACAGCAGAGGGTTTTTAACATGGTTGCTGGTGCACATTCAGGATTTTCCATCCCAGGTGTTATGTTGATGAGAGACTTGTCTGCTTTTCACTACAGTCTCAGGGTTTGACTTTCAATTTTTGAAAAAAGGATGAAATGAAATGAAATGAATGAACAGAAGCTAGAAGGGTTGTATTGTGAAA